ATTTCACATGATCTCTAATTGTGGATATAAATAAGGAGTTTGAATGATTGTTTTATTTTGGTGCAGGGTATATGACAGATATCTTCTGGAACGCCGACAGTTGGCTCCCCGAAAAGTATCAGGATCCTTCTCATATTAACTACTCCCTAGCGGCGTCGCTTAGTAAGAGGTATCTCTATGGTCCCTCTATTAAGGCTTATGGTGATAAGGATATATTCACGGATGAGTTGTTGGAAGGGTATTATATGTATGACGCATTCCACGCTTTTGACGCAACAAAAGGGACTGAACATGAAAGGCTTTATATGATGTTAGTGGATATTGTAATACGTGCTGCATCAGATAAGTACCGACAATGCAAATTGGTCATCATCTCAAAATTGTCACAAGACTCGGAGATGATCAGTAGGGTTCTTGGTTCTTTGAAAAGCAGACGCTGGCGCATTTTGTTTGCACTCCCTGAGCTTGATGTCGACCAAGCACTCACTAGTTTTGGAATCACTGTATGGCCCCAGCAGACCCCTTGCAATGGTAGAATCCCAGTTTGGCTTCGTCCAAACCTATTTGACCAAGAATGGCCACCCCATGAAGATGAAGATGATGAAAAGGATAGCAACAGGGCCAGATATTTTATAGAGCCTCCCGCTCCAGCTGATTATATCGTGGATTTCTCCATACCTGACAATGTTGATACATGCGTCTTCTGGGACGTGGAGGATTACCCACTCCCTCCTGGTCTCCAACCCTCTAAGTTTTACAAGAATATCATCTCAGCTTTTCGTAGACGTGGTCGTGTTTCTTCTTCTTCTCGTGATGGCCGTTTGGTGTCGATCTACTCCTATTCTGTCAAGGAGGAGGAATTATTGGCTGATAGCTTTGACTCCGGAATCATAATCCATCAGGTATGCAATTCTCCCGCAGACAAAATTGCCAGACTTGCTAGGATTACAATGGACTTTCTTTTGTGGTCAATGGACAATCCTGCCAAAGGTCCAGGTCCTCTGTCCCCCCCAAATTTGCTGGTAATCTCGAAACTCTTGGAAGATGACATATTGCGCGTCCGCGAGAGCCTTCTTGCTCTGAAAGGTAGAGGTCACAATGTTCTCCTCGCACTGCCTGCTGAAAAAATCCCTGTGTCATATAATGATAAGTATAATGTTCCATTGCTGTCTTGGGAAGCCCTATCGGCAACTTCGAAGCGCAAGACCAGAGCCGGATGATTGAATAAATTCTGTCTCGTCACAACCTTTTATCATTCTGTCTTGTTTTTGTCTATGAAAATATTGACTTTTATTGTGTCTTATCTCTTATG